GTTTTGTGGAGTTTTCTTTGTGGTGTTATTACTCTCTGGTCCTATTCATTATGGTTTTATTCCTCTCTCCAGCTGTAATTGGCTTTTGGTTGTTTTAACCAAAATTTTCCAAACGGGGAGATTGTTAGTTCCATGGTTTTAGTGTTGGCATAATTTTTTCTAAAACATGGTTCTACTAATGTTGATCAAGATGTTACATCACTGTTGTCAACTGTCGTAACAGTTTTGCTGTTATTAGTTTTTCAGCCAGATGTCATGACATATTTGTCTGGTACAACAGGCATTGCTGTTTTAAATCTTGATAGATTTGATTTAATTCTGTGATATTTCTTTTAAATATATCTCAGCTTATTTTGAAGGTCAACAAGATTTAATATGGAACATGCTTTATATCTCCAACTGTACATTAGTTACTAAATTGGGCCTTGAAATAATTTAAAAAACATTGTATTGTTTGTTCCAAGATTTAAGGAGATTTTGCTGCACAATTGGTGCATCATTCAAATTATGGATCAAGAAATATTTGGATGCATATTTCGAAGCCCATGGCCCGTAAAGGTGTATTTAAAGTGAATACCTAACCTAATGTAATTAGTTCTTTCAATAATTGTAAAATTAGGGGAAGGAAAAATAGTTTTAGGGAGAGTCTCTTGTGTATTGTATGGTGTAAGTCACCCTTGTATCTTTTGATACTTGTGGCCAACATTATGTTCTCACTCAAAATCCTTTAGGAAATGAGTTCAGTATATTTCTTGGATAAAGCTTTTAAGAAAATCCAAGTATTTGTTCTTAGTCAAGAGTATTGACTAAGTATTGTAATGGAAGTATCATCTTCTTGTTGAGTTATACTCGATACAGTCATTGGGATTGAGACTGTCAGATATCACTGAGGTGATTTAGGAAGTGAGATGGCGATTTCTCATATTTAGGAGGTTCTTAGGTAGAAGTTGCATTGGGTAGGGATTAAGAGATAAGTTGTAATCTGGGACTGTTTAGGCTTTGAACTAATATTACGAATATTAGACTTTCTTCCTGGCTTGGTAGCCCCCAGATGTAGGTGATATTGCACCAAACTAGGTTAACAACTCTATGTGATATTTATCATTCTGCAGTTAAAGTTTTAGTATCTATTATAACTTGATAAATCTTTTCAGGATGTCAAAGCGGATGTTATAACATTTGTCTTGATATTATTCTAATGTTGGGACTTCAGTATGAACGTGTGTTGCCTATACCAGAGAAATTTCAGTTCTAGTATGTGTTAATCTTGAATGAATTGTTTAGGTTCAAGTTCAAGGTCATGTTAAACAAGGTTGATTTGGTCTTGTATGACTGGTTTAGGAATAGGTTCAGGTTCAGAATGAACAAGTTGGTTTCGACTTCTGGCTAAGGAATTTCGGAAGTTGTGGTGTTTAAGGGTATGGTTTGGAGAGGTGTGATTTCTGAGTTATAAAGTCAAATTCATCAAAATCAGAAGTTGATGTTGATGAAGATTGAGGTATTAAGGATGAGATAGTTTGATATTAAGGTCTATAGGTTGATTTAGGTTGTTCTTCTGGTATGGTTTCCATGAACTGAACATTATCAACCATGATGTTTAGGGGAAGGGTTCTTCAGATACTGGAATAAGTTCTAGTTGGTTTTGTTCATAAGTGAACTCACTAACTAGATGCCTTGATATTTCATTTATGATAGATGAATTAAGTACATTATCTAGTATTTGAGTTATGGTATGGGAGTTAAAGGTTGAGGTAGGTTTATGAGAATTCGTGATAGGTTTTAAGGGTAGGGCTATATTATGAATGAGTGAGGGTCTGTGTTCAGATGATTGTGAATATGATTAGTGAGGGGTGGGTGTTTTTGTTTCAAATGGGGGACATGAAGAATCTAAGACTGACTCAGAGATAGGACCTAGAATGTTATATATTTTTACAGTTTCTACAACATCTGAAGTAAATTCAAAAGCTATCTCAGTTTCCATAGTAGCTTCTGGTGCTTGAGTCTCTGCAGCAACCAAAGACATTAGTTGAACCCTAGCTTCAGGTGTCTTCAAGGGAGCTTCAACTACACATTCCAGGTCCTTGTCCTGATCCTCACAAACTCAGCTTCTGATGGCTCTTCCACGCCATTTTACTTCAAAGAAGATGCCAGAATCTTTGCTCCCCCTTGCACATATTCTGCAAGTAGACCATGAGAAAGTTTCTTCATCTCCTTGTCCTTCCTTTTCAGAGGTTTAACATCTTCCTCTACCTCTTCTTCTTTTCCCTCAAGAGGTTGAACCATATTTCTCAATTTATTCTTCACGAAAGCAACTGTTGTAACAGCAGATAAGGATGCCTTCTAAGGAGTTCTTCCCATTACTCCACTTCTTGTCTTGGTATGTGTAGAGATAAAAAATGTAGCAGGGTAAATCGGAGATCGAGCTATTGATTAACTCGACTCACAAAAGCAAGATTCGTCACCGCACTTTATTATTTCCAAGGGAAAAGGGAAAAAGCGAAATAAAACCCTTAAATATGGAATGTAAAGTAATACTTAAAAGTAATGAAAATACAATGCGTTTTTTTAAAAAGAGATCTAGAGTTCGGGGGGTTGGTTATACAATGGGAAGGTATTAGCACCCAATGCATCTGCGGAACTCTGCAGGAACCTTTTGAAATATCTGTTTTTTGGTTAAAAATTGTTTTTTTGGGTTGAAATGATTTGTTTGGTTAAAATGATTTGTTTGGTTAAAATGGGTATGGACAAAATTTTGAAGATACGACGACCTAATGTCGAAGTTTTGACTTAAAAGGTGTGAGTTTGTAAATTGAGTTTTTAGGAAAATTAACTTAAGATTAACAAAACTAAAAAATGTATGAAGGGTTCACACAATTGTATAAGATATATTTGATGACATGAAGTCAACAAAGTTAAAATATTTCCCTTGGAATTGAGACGGACGAACGATATAAAGATTAAACAATCGAGAATAAATTTAATTAGAGTGACAAAAATAATAACATAAATTCAATAAGAGATTAATTTATAAGCATATATTTTTAAACAATTAAGTAAATAATAATTAGACAATGACTAAATTACAATAGCATGTATTTTAAACAATTAGATAAGTAACGAAAAATTAAATAAAAGATTAATAGCATGTTGACAAAAATTAAATAAAAGATTAATTTTTAACAAGCAAGTTTTTTGTATTTTATAATGAAATAAGTATATGAATGAACTAAATTAATATTTATTATCATATATTTAATAAAAATGGGAAATAATAGCTAAATGAACTAAAAAAACGAAAAAAGAAGCTCCAGCAAGGGTAGAACCCGGGTCTTCTTGGTTGCAAAAGGCAGGCCTTGCCAACTGAACTATATTATTTATTTGTTATTACTATGTTTTAATTAATACAAAAGGGTGAATAAGTTAGGAGATTGGGCCAGCGGGCCCATTGGGCCGACCCGGTTTCTAGAAACTAACAAGAAGAGTTTTATAACCCTAAAAATAAAGCAACAGGCGCCGCTGGTTTTGTTATTTGGGGAAGAGAAAAACAAGTTAATATTATTAAAAGCATCTCTCTATGATGTATTGGAAACAACATAAAAAAACTAAACTCTCTCTCCACGGATCACCATAACCTTCCATTACTACAACTTCATTCCATTTTCCACTCTCATCCGTATCTTATGCAACTTTACCCTCTTCTTCTAAAACTCCACTCATTCCTCTTCTGAATCGCTGGTTTCTTAGGTTGGATTTGTTCTTCTTCATCTTCTTCACGGTCGTACTTCGCTCAAACTTCCTAGTTCTTTCGCTTCTTCCACTTCACAGTATAAGCTCGCGTCATTTTTGAATCTGCAACTCCATACAGAGGGTTTGAATTCGAATCTGATTGCTTGAATTTGAAGAATTATTTATGTGGTAACAATGAAGATGAAAACCCTATAAGTAATTAGGGTTTATGGGGTGAAGAAGAATAGTAGGAGGATATGAAGTGTATTGAATGGGTTGAAAACGATGGAAGGAACGGTTTGAGGTTGCAGAGCGGATTGCTATCGATGTGGACGTGGTTGTCGTGATGTTGTTGTTCTCTGTATGTTGCGATGGCCTGTTTTTTGTTGTTATTGTTGGTAAATCTCTTCTACTCACTCTTCACATTATCGTAACTATGAAACTTTGATGATGTTGAATGCTTCAATCAAATGAATTGTTGTTGTATGCAGAAATTGTGAAGCGCAAGTGGAGGTTGAGAGGTTAGATGGACGGATGCAACCAGGAATTGAGCAGTTAGGTTTGTCATGGTGAAAGCAGAATATGAGTGGGTACAGTAGCAGATAAAGGGAGTTATGGGATGCTGTTAAAGGTTATGCTTGACTGCCTGAGTCATATTTGTTTTGATTTTTTTATCTAAGTGTATATCCTAATTCACAATTTATAACTCTAAAGGGAAAAGTGATTTCTCTGTTCCCATTCCTCAACTTATCATTCTCAACCAGCTGATGTCGGGCTAAAAGAAGATGTTTATTTTTTTTTGGAAATGTTCTCATTCATATTTGAAAATTCTGTGTGATTGTTGTTAATGGTAGATGAAGCAAGTGTGTGTTTGAACAAGGAAATGGTGATGAAGGCTATTTGACGGAGGGGAGTATGTGAGAAGGAAGGGGGTAGTGATTTTCTGTCTGGGACTTGAACTTAGAAAAACAGAAATAATTTATTTTATCTCTGAATTTTGGTGTTATTTTCTATACATTTCGTTCGCCGTTTATTGCTATTATTATTATTCCAACATTTCTACATATCCACACATTATAGCAATTCAAAAAAATACAGCAAAGGAATAAGATAAATCAAACATCATATGGAAAAAGTGGTGCAGAAGAAGATTCAAACATGGATATATGAGAAAGTTATGCAGAAGTAAATAGGGAAGAAGAAATACCTATCGGAGTCTCCCCGATGGAGCTTCTAAGAAAACAATAAGTTCTCCCTCCCTCTCTTGTTGATGCTCAAACTTCTGTAGCTCTAGTTCTTGCTGTTAAAACTTTAACAAACTTCTTATCTTTTTCTATTTTTTTCTCTTGTTGAGTTTTTCTTGTGTGTCTCTCCTTGAATTTTTCTTGTGTGTTTTTCTGTCCATGAATAGGGTTTTTATAGTGAAGTAACAAGGCATTTAGGGAAGAAAATAGTAGGATATTTGAACTATTTTGAGAAACTATTTTGATGCTTTGTTCATACAACTTTTCTTTAGCCATTTTGATGCAATTTTGGAGTTGTTATGATGCAGGGCAGCAGGCTATTTTGACACAGGTTTGACAGGTTTGTAGCAGAATTTTGGTAGCATTTGGGACTGGTATAGGTTGCTATTTTTTTGGACTGATTTGCTGCATTTTTATAACAGTTTTGAGACTGTTTTGTAGGCTATTTTTACAGCAAATTTTGGAGCTATTTTGCTTGCTGTCTTGGACTGTTATTACTGCTGTTTTGGACAGCAAAACACTACAAAAATTGGACTGTTATTGTTTTGCAACATGGCTGGAAAATATGGGCAGCAACATGATATTGGGCTGGAATTTTGGGACATTAGAAATAATAGTTTGTACAAACTTGTAATTCCTTGTAACTTTGTAGTGGTAAATCCAAATAAAATTGTAACATGAACGGAAACTTGTTTTGCATATAATTTCTTTCAATTCCTTTGTAATTGTAAACATTTGAATCTTTATGAACTTTGAATCTTGATATTTTTCTTGATGAAATTCAAAATCTTCCATTTGAATTTGGAAAGGAATGATTGATGCTTGAATGAATTCTTGAATAATGAATGAACAAAAATGCAAGCCTTAAGACTTCAATCTTGTATTTTGTATTAGAGATCCAAATAAATTACATGAATTAATCTTGTAATAAAATTGTAACCATCATGTATCTATTCTTGTGATGAATGATTATTCTTGAATCAAGTTTCTTTTTCAAATACCTTTCTGAATAAATGCCTCATGTGAATTCAAATGGCCATGTTGGGAATCCATCAAAATAGTCACACAAAAATAATCTTAAATAAATAGTCACACAAAAATAATCTTGAATAAATATTAATGAGATGAACGACTATTCTTGAATGAGATCTTTGATAACTTCTATTTAAATAACACTTGAATTCACGTGATGAAAATCCCAAGTATTCCGAATAAATTCTTCCAAAATGATCTTGAATTTAATCACCCACTCTAACGAGATTCACCCCACGCCATGTAAGTATAAGAAATCAAACCATGCTTAAAAGCTTCGAATGGTCACTAGAAGAGGTATTTGAGGCGAAGTGTTATCGCGTTGAGAAATTGGCACAGTGAACTGAACTTAGATCCAGAAACTCTTAAATCATGACAGACGTCCCATAAAGGCTTTCATGGATTTCTAAACACAATTGTCTTCAACTTTTTTAAAGAAAATTTGTAGATGACTTTAGGTCAAAGCGTTTGGGATTTACTCGCATAGCCTGATCTTTTCTTGTATTTCAAGGAAAAGTGAAACACATGTGAACCAATGGTAATAGAACCTTGACTGTTCTTTGAGGAAGTTTTGGAGACGCTTGAGGCCACTTGTTGAACATAGCATGGAAATAAACACATGATTCTCTTGATGAATCAGTCTTCAAGAATCAATGATCAATTGTACTTCTGGCTTGAGACTCAAAACCCTAATTGAGGCGTGACACCTGATGCTCTTGATTCATACCTATTTCTGAACATGAAATCAAAGAAACAAAAAACACACACTTCGTGCTTGATTAGAAGTTAGTCATGCATAATATAAAATGTTCACAACACTCGATAATCTCATCACAGGAAATGCTCGAAGGTGAAACGTTCGAAATCGACCATATTTCATGGCCTTGATGTATATAACAAAAATGCAAAATGGAGATGGGATCTTAGGTCAAAAATTGGGGTATGTCAGCTGCCCCTATTTAAGTTTCTTTTATTTGGAGATATGAAGATTGAAATCTTCGTCTCGACGATATTGAAGGTACTTAAATACATAATACGCAATTTTCCCCCTAAGATACTGCCATTGTGTTTATGATATGATATGAATGTAATATTTGAATTTTATGGAGAATGATGCCGCATGAGAGAAACTATTGCTGGAGAAACCAAGGACATGATAAAATAATCCACAGGGGAAGAGGTTATAACTCTACTGGAGAAATAGAGCCACAAACTTTGAATGAGGGACTTTTATCTGAGAATAACTTCGAGAGGAAACAATTTTTTGACTCTAACAAAAAAATGCCTTGCATAGGCCACGAAAAATAGATGGCTACTGACCCAAGATGATGGTGAGTTTACAACTCAGGGTCAAAGGTAGACAAAAAGATGCACCTACTTTTACTGATAGTGAACTGCCAATTTTTACTGAAGGTATAGATTTCATAACAAACTTATCTGCGGGACTTTTCTAGAAAGATACCATTTTCTGCTGAAATAACATATTGTGGTAGATACGTAAGCTGCTCAAATAAGGAGGCCGCCACTTGCTGTCTTCAAAGGATATTAGTAAACACACAAGTTGCTCAAATAAATAGGCCGCCACTTACTGTCTTCTAAGGATATTAATAAACACACAAGTTGCTCAAATAAAGAGGCCGCCACTTGCTATCTTCAAAAGATATTAATAAACACACAAGCTGCTCATAAAGAGACCGCCACTTGCTGTTTTCCAAAGATATCTATAACAGGCAAGCTGCTCATGAAGAGACTGCCACTTGTTGTCTTCCAAAGACATCTATAACACGCAAGCTGCTCATGAAGAGACCGCCACTTGTTGTTTTCCAAAGATATCTATAACACACAAGATGCTCATGAAGATACCACCGTTTGTTGTTTTCTAAAGATATCTATAACACACAAGCTGCTCATGAAGAGACCGTCGCTTGTTGTCTTCTAAAGATGTCAATAACACACAAGCTTCTCGTGAAGAGACCACCACTTGTTATTTTCCAAATATATTTATAACACACAAGCTACTCATGAAGAGACCGCCACTTGCCGTCTTCCAAAGATGTCAATAACACATAAGCTGCTCATGAAGAGACCGCCGCTTGTTGTTCTCCAAAGACATCTATAACATACAAGTTGCTCGCGAAGAGACCGCCACTTGCTGTCTTGTTGATATTCCAGAAGAATGTTATGATAACACTGCTAGGGAATAAAGATCTTCTTCAATAGGGAACCATGAATAGGTCCTTCCTGAGGGGACCAAGTATTTAAATGCACAAAATAAATGTGCTCTTCATCCAGGTTTCACAGCCTAGAGAAAACCACGGGGTAGCCTATGCAAGAGATAAAGCTCAATCCAGGGATGAACCGGAGAGAAAACTATCAAACAAGACTCCACCCAATGAGGAAACAACTCAATTGGGGATTTATCCTATCCAAAGATGGAAAAGGAAGGCTAAAGCAAAATTCTTCCACAAGGATTAGCTCAGTTGGGGAATTAGAAAGGAGGCACACTTTCTACCTAACTTGACATTCTCTTTGGGAAGAGCAAACACGCTATTTTACTAGACATAACTAAGGTATACAGACCCAATAACATCGACAAATACGGATGTGTATGCATGATGCAAGTGTGAATGGATAAATGAATGTCATGTATATGCTGACAAAATAGATAGAGGAAATAAACTGAAAATGATAAAACATCACAAAACAAATAGATACTCGGCCAATCTCAAAGAGATGGGAAAATAACTGGAGATAGAACAAAAGGCATCATCGGATCATATCCTACTACAAGGCTTAAGTCTCTCTGGGGAGGAAGATATTCAAATTTCAATCTTCTACCATCAATAAACCACTGACATGATAACAAAATGTACTTCACTTTGGTTAGGGAGAAAAATCTCGCTCAACTAGAGATAACTAAAACAAGGCTTAACCAGGGTTGTTGGGGAGTCACCAAGTTTAGTACTCTACTGGAAACACAAGGTCACGCAAGCAACACCTCAAGATGACTTTGAAAGAAGAACCATTATTCATCATACAAGGATGAACTACTATGTTGTTTTATATTTCAAGGCTTAACCTTTCTCGGAGCAACTGTTAATATTCCTTCTAGTATTCATGACACATTTCAATATAGGAATACTCTAATTAATTTTGTTTCAAATATTTCTATAAAAACCTGAAATTTTGTCTGATAGAAAAAACACAAAAAAGGATAAATGCTCAAATTTCATTAATAAGATGGTAGTCCGTTAATGGCGTGGCTCCAAAGGTTTACAGATTTTTTTGGAAAATAGTACATGAAAGAAAAGGTTACAAAAACGATGACCATATTCTCCCTAATAACTTTGAATTCCAAGATATGCTTAAATTTCGTGACCAGTCTGATCAAAAGCCTGCTTAAGCCACCCCTTCGGGTTTTCAACTTAGCAAGCTGTCATCTCAATTTAGGCGAAGTAGTTCTTTACTGCATCAGAGTTCATAGAGCGTGGGAGCTCCTCACCATCCATATTTGTAAGAATCATGGTGCCTCCAGAGAAAACCTTCTTAACAACATACGGTCCTTCATAATTTCGAGCCTATTTTCCCCTAGAATCAAGTTGGAAAGATAATATCTTCTTGAGCACGAGGTCACCCTCTCTGAATTCGCGCGGCCGAACCTTCTTATCAAATGCCTTCTTCATTCTCTGCTGATATAGTTGGCCGTGACACAACGCTGTTATTCTCTTTTCTTCAATCAAATTCAACTAATCATATCTACTTTGACACCATTCAGCCTCAAAAAGCTTAGCTTCTATATAAAAAATCTCATAGACGGGATCTCAACCTCCACGAGGAGTACTTATTCCATGCCATATACTAGAGAAAATGGAGTTGCACTTGTTGAAGTTCGAACTGAAGTACGGTACCCATATAGAGCAAACAAGAGCACCTCACGCCAATCTTTGTAAGTTACCACCATCTTTTGGATAGTCTTCTTAGTGTTTTTATTAGCAGCTTCAACAGCCCCATTCATCTTTGGTCTGTAGGGAGAAGAATTATGATGTTTGATCTTGAATTCTTCACAAAGATCTCTCATCATTTTGTTATTCAAATTCGAACCATTATTAGTGATGATCTTGCTCGGGATGTCGTATTGACAAATGATCTGGTTCTTGATAAATCTGACTACCACCTGTCTGGTTACATTAGCATATGATGTTGCTTCCATTCATTTAGTAAAGTAGTCAGTGGCCACTAAGACTAAATGATGAACATTCGAAGCCTTGGGTTAAATCATTCCAATCATATCAATGCCCCATATAGTGAGAGGCCAAGGTGAAGAGATAACATTGAGGAGGGTCGGTGGCATATGTATCTTGTCTGCATAAATTTGGCACTTATGGCATTTCTTCACATATTTGCAGCAATCAGATTCCATCGTCATCCAATAGTAACCAGCCCTCAAAGTCTTTTTAGCCATCGCATGTTCATTAGCATGAGTGCCAAAGGATCCTTTGTGTACTTCTTGCATCAACATGTCCGCTTTATGTCTATCCACATATCTGAGCAAAAGCATGTATAATTCCTCTTATATAATACTTCTTCATTGAGGAAGAAACTACCTGCCAACCTCCTCAACGTCTTTCTATCTTTATTCGATGCCCAGGCGGGTACTCTTGAGTTTGAAGAATATGTTTAATGTCATAGAACCACGGTTTGCCGTCGGTGACCTCTTCTGCTGAGAACATATGAGCGGGTCTATCAAGGTACGTAATTCTGATTAAAGGCATATCGTTCCAATCATTCACTTGGAACATAGAAGACAAAGAAGCTAAAGCATCAACCATTT